AGCCCGACGCGGGGCTCGAACCCACGAACCGCGAGATCATGACCTAAGCGAAAGTCGGGCGCTTAACCGACTAAGCCACCCAGGCGCCCCACTATGCTTTTATTTTTAACTTCTAATTCCAAAGCATGAAAAAAGCAGCCTCTCGATTGTAGAGAAAACTATGAGCCTGGCTCACACAAAATGGCATCAGCCAGCAACAGGTTTGGAGACTAAGATAGAAATGGTCTGTGGGACACGCGACAGCCTTACTGAAACCTCCGTGCTTCCAGGCCCTTCTCACTAGAGCACCACCGCGTATGGAGCTGCGGAGCCTCCCGCTCTGTGCTCCCCCTGCTTTGGGTCTTAATGGAATTCAAACCCTCTCCTTTCTCCCGTCTCCCTTTTCTGTTCAGTCCCTGGAGCTGTTTCCCCTTTCCCGCTTTCTCTCCAGCTGCTTTTGGCGGGGGGGAGGGGGGGATGCATTGGGGGGTGCTTTTCCTTTATTCTCCCCCCACCCCCGTTTCCGTCCTCTCTCTGCAAGCAAAAACAGCTCCCTGCCCTCCGCAGCTTCTTTCTCCCCCGGTTCATGTCTCCGCGCCACCTGCCTGCCCACTCGTGTGGTTCAGGTTGTACAGATTTTTGTGTTAACCCTCAGGTCAGTTTTCTAGGTGTGCAAGATGGGTTCGTGTTGATCTGGCTGCATATCAGGGACTAGAGACGCAAAAACAAAAAAAAAAAAACAAAAAAAAAAACTTGCCCTGCTGTTCTGCCATCTTGGCCCCTCCTCTGGCTTTTTATGTTAAAGGCTGAAAGGTACACATGAAATCTTATTTTCACTATTGCGTTTCTACTAGATTGTCCATATAGTCAATGTGGTGTTGCTTCCGTCTGGATTCTATGTAAGGATCATATGTATTAGCTCAGGGTCTGCCTTCCCTGTACTTGAACCTCTTACCAATGTAAGGACTCCAGCTGCGTTGACTGCTCTTTGCCTGTCATTCTACCTCGCAGGGATCAGTATTATTACTGCGGCCCACTTTCTGTTTATTTGCAGATCACTGCCTGTCCAGCCGTTTATTTGTAATGTCGAAAGCAAGTGACAAGCTAGGCAAAAGCATATAATTGTTTTGAGAACCCATCCTTGAATCTTTTTAATATGGCTGTTTCATCTATTTATACATATCATTAAGTTAAAGTGGCCTTCTGACATCTGTTATGCTTTTTTCTTACGGTTTTGCGGTTTCTGCCCCCCACTAAATGGCGATGTCTTATTTCCTTTTATCTTCTCGAGTGATTTGAACATGATATGGCCTGTGTTTTTGTAATTAAACAATCGTTATAAAAGCAATACACTGCAGACAAATCAGAAAGGAAAGATGAGCAAAATGAAATGAAACGGACGCGGAATCCCACCTACCCAGAGACGCCCACCGTAAACATGTTTGTATATATCTTCCAAAACGTCTTCTGGAAATGTAAACACATCTGTATATAAACACACAATAGAATCCGCCAGGGAAGTCATGCCGCACATCCGCGTCTGTGACCTTCTTGGATCGGCATATCACGGATGCCTTTCCATATGAATAAATCTCCTCCACTTAATTTTGAAAATCCCCTTATTGTGGCCCTAGTCAGGCTTTGTATAGATATTTTCAAACTGCCCTTTGGATATGTTTGTACCGAATTCACTTCTCCTCAGCATGAATAATTCATGCTGGTTTTGATGTTTGCTAATGTGATAAAAGGGGAAGAATAATGTGCATCCTGTTTTCATTTGTACGAGTTTCATACCTAGTCAAGCTGAACATTTGCATGTTTTCTTATCACTTTTCTCTCAGGATGTAATCTACGACGGAGGTGATTTTTTGGAACTAGTTGGGAAAGGATGGGTTGTTCACCAAATGATGTGGGAACCACCATGAAGAAAAAAGGTGATGGTTTTTTGATAAAATGCTCCCCAGAGGTATTTATGATGTCCTCAAAAGAACCACAGGGGCACCTGGGCGGCTCCGTGGGTTAAGCGCCCAACTCTTGGTTTTGGCTCAGGTCCTGATGGCACGGTTCGTGGGTTCGAGCCCCATATCAGGCTCTGCACTGACAGTGCTTCGGATCAGATCCGCTGTCTCCCTCTCTTTCTGCCCCTCCCCAGCTCATGCTCGCTTTCTCTCTCTCATTCTCTTGCTCTCTCTCTCAAAGATAAACTTAAAAAAAAAACAACAACAACAAAGAACCACAAATCTACTAGAAGAGACATGGGCGCGTTTCTCACAGCTCCCCGCACCCCTGCTCAGTGGCCCTGGCCTTGAAAGCACACGTCCCTCCGCCCCCCTGCTCATCATCCTTCTGGTCTCATCCTTCTGGTCGGGGCTCCAGCGACACTTCCTCAGGCAGGCGGCTCCTCCTCCCCACCCGGCAAGGGTCATCTGGTATACCTCATGCCTACTTCACCTTTGCCACGTCTTGGACATTTGCAAGTTACCCAGGTATTTGGAGGGTTTGTGTTTGTTTTGAGAGAGAGGGCACGTGCGAGTGAGCGGGGGAGGGGGCAGAGGGAGAGAGAGAGGGTCTTACGCAGGCTCCATGCTCAGCGTGGAGCCCGACGTGGGGCTCAATCCCACCACCCTGCATCAAGACCTGAGCCGAAATCAAGAGTCGACGCTCAAGCGGCTGAGCCACCCAGACTCCCCTGGAGTTTTGATGCTCCTTTCCCACGTGGACAGCAAGGTGCCTGCGGTGTGAAAGAGGAAACTCTTTCGTTTAGTCCTCCATGCCGAGCAGCCTGCCAATCATTTAGCACCTTTCCGGGGGTGCTTTCTCTCATCTCCGCTTTTTAAAATACACTTTCAAATACCATTGCCGGTGTGTGCCGCTACCAGGGACGTTCTGCTCTTGGCTTCCGCCTGCAATGCCGCGCCTGTGGGGTCTTTCACTCACCTCCCAAAAGAGGCTCACTCCCTCCGCCTCCTTTCCTAAGGTTTGCTGGGTGTTTGGGAATTGACATAACTGAATGAAAAAGCAAGGGATTACCTGCATATATGATCACGGTGTGTGATGTCCCAGGCACCATTCTTCTCTCCTGTTTGGTCCCTAAAACAATGGCGCATCTCACGGCCACAGGAGACTTAGGTCTGATGAAAGGCACTCGCTTATTGAAACGAGAGAACAGAAAGGGCCCTCCGTGTGCAACTTCTACTCCTCCCTCCCGACAGTGGGGAGCTTCCATAGGGAGGGAGGCCGACTGAGAGGCGACACATGACATTCTAAGTCTTTCGAATGGAAGTGGTTTAATACAGAACCAGAAGCTTCTGGAAGGCAGGGGGCCAAGATGAGGGAAGCAGTTTCTGGAGATCCGGGAGCACAAGGGTTGCAGGGAAGCTCGCTCAGTGCTTTCAGCCTCCTGCATGACTGAAGTGGGTAAATCCCAGGACGACATCCAGAGGCCACTGGGCAAACGCCTGTCTGCCTTCTGCTGATGCCAAAGGCTGTCCCAGGCAGCCACCACCGGAAAACTGCTTCTCCTTCCCTTCTTCCTCCTCACTTGTGGGAGAATCTACCCCCCTTACTGGTAAGGGGGCCTGGGAAATGCGGCTTCCAGGCTGCACAGGGGAGACCTTAGAAAGGCTGGGTGGGCCGAGCCTGAGTGGCTCAGGCGGTTAAGCGTCTGACTCTCGATTTCGGCTCAGGTCGGGATGTAAGGGTCATGGGGTCGATCCCCATATCGGGCTTTGTGCTGAGCCTGGAGTCTGCTTAGGACTCTCTCTCTCTCTCTCTCTCTCTCTTTTCCTCCCCCGCCCCTCTCTCTTGCTTGTATGCACGCTTTCTCTCTCTCTTCCTCATAATATATAAATACAAGTTTCAAAAACAAGGAAAGGAAGGCTGGGTGGTGGTATCGACACCAGCCAGCACTTTGGAACTCTCTAGGTTCGTCAGTCCGTACGTCAACATAGGTGAACTCCATCTCTCTCGTCTTCTCTCCATATAAAAGGGACATGTAGGGGTACCTGACTGGCTCAGTTGGTGCGGTATGTGACACTTAATCTCCAGGCTGTGGGTTCGAGCTCCACATTGCGTGTAGAGATTATTTTTTAAGAAATCTTTAAAAGTGTAAATAAAACATAATGAAAGGAACATGTAATATGTTCGCCCCCTCCCAACGGATTGACTTTTGTCCTCGTGGAGGATGTACACCCCACGCGACCTCAATGCCCTTGAACAGCGAAGGCCAGCCTAAGGCACGTGCAACAGTGACACCAAAGGTGAGGCCACTGGGAGGTAAACGGAGGAACACCGTCTGCCACGCTTTCTGAACGCGAGCCCTGGGCGGCACGTCCACCATACCCTACAACCCTCCCTCCTTCCCTGGATCAGCCTCAGAGGACTTGGAAACAGAAGGCAGTCGCGGCACCTCACTGTGCCAACAGCCCCGGAACTTCCCCCGGACTTCGGGGACTCAGCCCACTGTGAATACAATCCCTTACGTCGCTGGAATAGCAGGACCTTCGTCAAGATGTTTAGTTCTTAATCTCCAGCAGCGTTACAGAAGGGCATGGCCTTTTCACGCTAGCGGGGGGGGGGGGGGGGGGGGGGGGGGGGGGGGGGCGGGGGGCGCCTGGGTTCAAGCCTGGGAAGTCCTACTCTGGAATGCCATCGTGAGATGTTGCGAGGACGACGAGAAATCACGCAAAGAGGAAGGCAAGTGCTCGGTGTGTCCAGAGGGCTGCAGAGCTCGGCGTGCGGAGCTTCCGACTTCCTCTTCAATACCGCTGCGAGCAGCAGGCTTTGAGGACTGCTCCCCGGGGGTGTGGTCTCAGGCCCTACGAGAGAGAGCAGCCCTTTGCTGCTAGGAATCCGCGTCTCTGTAGAACGAGGGCAAGTGTCGAAACTCAAGTATGTGGACACAGAGAGCCACGAACTTACCAGAGTGCTGCTTCAGCAACTAGTAAGTGCGAACGTTAACGTCTTGCGGTGAAAACGAATCGAATCAAATCCGAGGCTGTGACATTAATTACTGTGGTTTTTAAACTTTATTTTTAAATCTGAAAACTGTAAAACAAAATGCCTGAGGACTGTTCAACTGGGCACCAGCATCTTCACACAAATAATTTGAGAGAAGATCAAGTTTAAAATAGAATCTGGTCTCATAAGAAGTAAGAAAAATGAAAAACATAAAGCACATTTTAAATCCCAGATGCCCAGTAAATAATTGCCTTTGTTTATAAAGCACATTTGGTTTTCTGAAAGGAAAATGTACATTTTTGCCCCTGGTGAACATTTTATTGGCATTTAATAACAAATGGCTAATACACTTAGCACCAGTTCTCACAGCTTATAAATATTACATCAAATGTTATACAATAAATAACCAATAAAAATGAACATGTTTCACTTGAAAGTTCTAATTTTTAAAATACAGTTCAAAATAACAAGTCAGAACTACTATATCTTCTAGAGTTTAGTAGGCTAAATGGCTCAGAGAGCAAATTCACTAGAAATGCTGCATAAGACAGAGAACTTTCCTGGACGGAAACCCTGAGTAAGCTGAGAGGTATCAGCGACGGCTAATGATGTGGATATTTTTAACAGCATAAACACATCTCACTAAATATAGTTAATATTTACCTATGTGGAACTACAAAGTGCTATTTTAAATTCAAAAAGATTTACTTGTGTATACTACATATATAGAATAAAATATAAATATAAAATAGTATCCTTTTGAGGAATAAACACAGACTAAAATATGCATCTTTTCAAAATCTGGACATAAACACCTTTATAGAGATATGTGAGCAATGAATGCGTGGTGAAATGTCCAAACTTAGGCAAAATATGGAAGTTTTAAAGTATCTTTTGCATAAAACGACTACTCTATAATTTATCCAAAAACAGGTAAGAATATTTCAAGACAGCTTATAAGGTTGTCTTTTTTTTCTTTAAATAGGAACAAATATAACAGATATAGAAATAATAATAGAAAGAAAAATAATTTCTATGGCTTTCCCTTTGGGGAAGCTGGCAGAACATAAACAGAACCTTGCAGTATAAACATAAAATGTTTTAGAAAGATGATCTCTATAGCTGCGTGTTTTAAGTTTTCCTGTAAGGAAGACTCATGGATTTTATTAGAGAACTTGTGAGTCCCTGATATTTTCTCTTTGGGATTCAGCTATTTTGGTTCTATAGAAATAGATGAACAGAAATTAGAGGTGTTTCTCTACTTCCTACATGAAGTACATTTGTAAACTCTCAATGAAAATAATAAAAGATGTAAAGAACCAACCACCAATTTGAATATGCCAATAGTAACATGTTAAATGGTCTCTAAAATAGTAGACTAGACTCTAATGGAGCCCTGAATATGATATGTTTGTAAAGAACGTTCTATACAACAACAACTGCTAAAGGGCCGGAAAATGGTTTTACCCCAAGATGGCACTGGTCTCCCCTGAATGAAGGCCAAGCTAAGGGTACACAAAATTTTTTAAATCGTCGATGTTTTTATCGCCTCTAAGCCCATCAATGTAGTGACACAACTTCACGGCGGTCCCCAGCTTCAGCCCCATGTACTTCAGCATCATGTCACTCTTGAGGAGCAGCAGTGCCTTCCCATCAATGTCCTGAGACGGAAGGAAATGACAATAATTAGTAATCTGTTGATATTTGAACAGAATGGCTATTTCTTTACATATAAGAATATGTAATACCAATTAGAGAGCAGCTCATTTCAGATGTGTATTCTGTGAGAGTGTGCATCCGGGTGATGAAAACTATTACAAATATAATTTGTACCATGAAGCATGTTTTGATCATTTGTAAATTTGCTTAGAATTTTAAGGAAAAGATAACTTAACCTAATATCTTAAAAATGTCCTAAGCCTCAAACTGCCTAACTTAATTTTATTTCTTTTAACTTACTTACTTAATGAAATTTTTGAGAGAGACAGAGACCACATGAGCCGGGGAGGGGCAGAAAGAGAATGAGAGAGAGAATCCCAAGCAGGCTCCATGCTGTCAGCACAGCTGACATGGGGCTTGAACTCACAAAACCAAGAGCTGGACACTTAACCAACTGAGCCACCCAGGTGCCCTGCAAACTACTACCTAACTTTAAATACTGTGTTGGAAAAATACTGCATGTCTCTGACAAAGAGGAAAAAACTATGAATGGTAGAAATGAATTTCAGATGGCCATTAACTTTCTCAGAACAGCTTGGAATATGTCAGCATCAATACAGACTGTAAATGCGCTATACAGTGTTTTGATGTTGAAAGCTAATCAGTTGTCTAAAGGGAATTAGATGCTAAAAACTAATTATTTCCTTGCCATACTGAACAGATTATATCAAATATGTGGCCACTGATTTCGCTCGTTAGGAAACACTATAAAAATATGACTTGAGAGTCATAAGGCGTCCTCCTCAAATTCTTTACTAGTTGACCAGCTGGTGCTGCTGGAGCATATTTGGTTTTTACAAGTTCTGGTTTAAAAATAAAACTGTACTGTCTGGAAAGACCCGAAACCCCTAATATACGGCCTCTGTTAGGCACCTTCTGCACTTCTTCTACTAAGTACAACTGGAAATTTGTTACTAAGTACAACTAAAAATTTAGCCCATGACACTGCTTTGTAAATGGCATGAGAGTATCAGCATCCCATATTGTCAGTAAGCATGTAAGGTTAACACAACTGACCCAAATGGAATCCGCTGCTGGACTCATTGGGCAACAAACAAAGGACAGCCTATCACATTCTTCCTATTTAAATTCAGCCTTTAAGGAGCTAACTTTGGGCAAAGTAAACTTTCCCACACATGGCAAATCGGTTGACACAGTTCTCCCACCATCTGTCCCAACTGGTATCCAACAGAAAGGCCTGCGCACAGGTCATTCAAAAGAATTACACCAGGGGCACCTGGCTGCCTCAGTGTGTACAGCGTGTGACTCTTGATCTTGGGGTCAGGAGTTCAAGCTCCATGTTGGGTTAGAGCTTACTTTAAAAAGAAAAGCAAAGGGGCGCCTGGGTGGCTTAGTCGGTTAAGCGTCCGACTTTCGCTTAGGTCATGATCTCACGGTTCGTGGGTTCGAGCCCCACGTCGGGCTCTGTGCTGACTGCCAGCTCAGAGCCTGGAGCCTGTTTCAGTCTGTGACTCCCTCTCTCTCTGACCCTCCCCTGCTCATGCTGTCTCTCTCTCTCTCCTAGAAATAAATAAAACATTAAAAAAAATAATAAAATAAAGAAATAAAAAGAAAAGCAAAGCATCATGGCAGGAAAACCAGATCAAAATATACATTACATGTTGCCTGAAGACGTCAGCGATAGGGGTGACTGTCTGAGGGTCTTCCCGTATCAGAAACTGGATCACTTCATCCACAGACCAGGTCGAAGGGTCATTAGGGAAGTTTCTCGGGATGCCTCGGTTATTTCCAATTGGTGAGCTTGTAGCTTCAATGGGAGGAAAAAAAAAAAAAAAAAAAGACAAATCAAACTTGACCTGATCATTATCCTAAAAGAGATGTCAGGTAGGGAGAAATGGTCTGGCATCAAGGATGTTGAGGAATATAGGTTAAATAGCGCTACTCGTAATACGTGTCATTCACACTCACCAAAGTTGCCTGGGTTGCAAAAAGGCGAGACGGGATAGCCGAAGCTCTGATTTTCCAGTGAACTTGGATAAGCCATTTCAGGGTTCTGCGGTGGACTGGGGTCAGCTTGTGTCAGCACGTCCTCAGGCAGTCGGACGGATGGTCGGGTAGGTGAGAAGATGCTGTGGGTGCCACGGCACCCTGGACTGTCGCAGTAGGGCATGAAGGAGGAGCCATCCAGCGGGGGGTCAGGCGTGAAGTAAGGCCGGTAGGACTGGGAACCGAAGATGGCAGGAAGCGATGGACTCCGGTTCAGGCGCGATTCCTGCTCCTGGAAGATTAACTCTGGATCCCGGTCTGGGGACTCTGGATCTAACTGGTAAGATGTTTCCAGATAGTTGCTCTGGGAATCACTGTTTGGCCTTTCTACCGGAATAGTTGGGCTATAACTTTTAGGGTCAGATAATATAGAAGAAGTGTCTTTTTTCCTCATTTTCTGATATCTGTTCTTTCTGAACAGCAGGTAATTATAATTTCTATATGCATATCCAAGTGGCTTCTGAAATGACACAAACCCAGCATAAACCAACTGTCAGTGAGTAAAAAGGGAAACAAAATAAGTAGTAAATATACAGTAAAACCTTGGTGTGCGAGCATAATTTGTTCTGGAAACATGCTTGTAATCCAAAGCATTTGTTTATCAAAGCGAATTTCAAGAACCACTGGCTCGGTTGTGATCATGTGATATTCGGCCTCACACACTACTCGTATTGCAAGACATTGCTCATTTTATCAAGTTAAAACTTCTTAGAAATGTTTGCTCGCCTGCAGAACACGTGCAGAACAAGTTACTTGCAAAAGGTTTTACTGTATTTATTTTTTACATAACACTGCTTTATGTTACTGAAGATCACTGCTCCATTTTGATTATACGATTTTTGTTTCTCTTCAACTCTACATTTTAACTGAATTTAATACATTACGGTTATAAACATATTCACTGTCAAACGCTTCCTCAAACCTAAACTTTAGCGTTTTTCCAAAAGTTTCAGTCTCCCATCTGCTGCAACAGCAAATATCAATCAACCTTGTTAGTCTCATAGCTAACAGTTCTATCTGATTTCTAACTGACTGGCATCTTTAGAATAGGTCTATTACAGTTGAGAAAATATTTTTGTAACACTCACGCGACTTTGCCATAATGATTTCACACGTAAACGGTGGATTTTTGAAATTTTTCCGTGAATTACATCAAATTTCTTATCCAGGTTTTGAACAGCATCGTAGATGACCTATTATAATATAAGCTCTTAATAGTTTCTATTTCAAAAGAAAAGTAACATAAAAGCACCAAGAAACTATATTTTGATAACTAGAAACAAAGAAAACTTCTCCAACCATCACAAATGTCTTGTTTCCACTTGATGCCCAGTTTTGGTGACACAGAGATAAGGAGTACGCAACTATTCACACCGTATAGGCATTTTAAGAAGCTTTACTACCGGAAAGTAAATGTACTACCATTCTTATAAGGCACATTTAGGATGGAGTCATTTTATGTCAAGGAGAATGCTATTTCAGGAAAGAAATCTTCAAATCTGCTAAAAGGCCAAAGAGCCTCTTTGCATATAATGACGGCGCTGAACTCCTAGGCGGTGAGCATTCCACTCTGGAAAGAACAGTGAGCCAAATATAACAGATGTGACTTCTGGCTTCAAAGCATTTTTAAGTCAGGCAATCAACAATTAACCTTACAAAACCTTTGAGTGCATGTCCCCTGTAGCCAACCACGTACAGGACTGATAAAGCCTGACAATTCTTCAAATACACGCAAACGTCATTCAGGGAAACCATCTACTTAAGCCAGAGGCTGAAACCATTTCCCTACTCATTCATCCATCCATTCACACAAACGGTTATTGAGGGCCTACTACCTGTCAGAACGGCTTTGCTAGGTGCTGGAAACGTGGACAGAAAAGAGAAAACAAAACAAACAAGAAAACCACCAGATCCTGCCCTAAGAAACTCCCATTCTAGCTGGAGAGAGAGGATTTCAAAAACGTGCCGGGCAGCCCCGAGCAGTGGTTCTCAAAGTGTGGTCTCGGACCAGTAGCAGGGACGCGGCCTGCTGCCTCGTTGGAAATGCACCATCTCCCACCCCAGACGGGGAACTCAGAGTGGGGGCGGTGGTCTGTTTCCACAAGCCCTCCAGGGGGTTCTGCTGCATGATCCAGGGAGACCCCACTGGTCTATAGCACTGAGGTAAATAGCTCAGGCTCTAGGGGAACGCGCTTGGGTTCTGAGGCTTAGCAGCTGTGTGACCTCGCCCAAGTTGCTTAACTTCTCTGTGCTTCAGGTTCCTCAGTAGAGAATGGAGACGAGAAGGTCTCTCAGAGTTCCCTCGCGGACACAGAGGCGCTGTAGTATGACGTTAATACGAACGCAATCACAATACTACCTGCTGACTGGCCGGGGAGCGCCTAACCAGCCGCTAATATTCATATCGTTACTATACTCGGACGGCTATGGCACAGGTGAGAACGGGAGGCTACGTGCCCAGAAGAGCAAGAGCAGGCCCGCAGTCGTGGCGGGCTTTCCAGAGATGTCTACGCTGAGAACTGAAAGAGGAGCCGGTGATGACTAGGCAAAGATGCACGGAAGGGCATAGAGGGCAGAAGGAACAGCAGAGTCAAAACTACCCAGACAGAACACCAGAAGCCAGATGTTGGACAGTGAGCGTAAATGACGTGCAAGGAGCAGGGTTGGAAGGGAAGAGGAGGGAAAGGCGGGCGGGAAGGGGCCTGGGAGGCCCAAAGGAGAGGCTCTGCTGAGCTGCGGGAGGATGTGCGGAGAGCGAGTGATGCAGGCTGAGGCTGAAGGTACGGGAGGTGGTGACCGATGAAGGGAGGGGTCCCGGCACAGGGAAAGGGAGGGAAAGAGGCTCGGAGGCAGAAAACCCTACGGAGGGAGACGCCCCAGGACACATCCCAGGCCCCTCGGGCGGGGCGGGGCGGGGCGGGGGGGGGGGGGGGGGGGGGGGGGCGATTGCGNTGGGGGGCGAGCGATTGCGGCTGGGAGGGATTTCTGCCTCAGACTCTCCGTTTCCTCCGTGAAGTAAGAAGAGGCAGCGAGGGCTGGGCTACCGGGAGCTCGTGGGGACGGCGAGGGAGCTGAGCAGAGAGCTGTGGAAGGGCCAGGGCGCAGCGGACGGGCGTCCCCTGCGCCCCCCCGGCCTGCGGAGGGCTGGGGTCTTCCTGAAGGGGACGCCGGGCAAGGACAGAAAAGGAAAAGGTGGCGGCGCTGCAGCAACCGGCCTGGCCTGGGCAGGGCAGGGGCCCAAGAGGAGAGAGCGAGCCCACTGGGGGCCGTGGGGACCCCTGAGGGCCCGCGTCAGGGCTGTGCCTCTGGGCCCCGGGCATTTCTCCTCCGCGGCGCTCGCTCCAGCCCACGGCTTTGCCAGGGGGCGGGGCCAGCCCTGCTCCCGCCCCGGGGCGGAGCCCCCCGCCCGCCCCCCGCCCCCTGCACGGCCTTCCTTCCCGGAGACCCGCGGCGTCCCCTCCAGGCAGTCCCCCTGCAGGCGGCTCCCTTCTGCTCTCAGCAACAGCCATAAAGACTCATAACCTCTCTTTGGCAAGGGAGCCCGGGAGCTCGTTTTAATCCAAGAGACTTGGTATGTCAAGAACTGATTTTTAAAAAAGAACCTTTCATTACCTCTAAAGGATGCAGCTCACAAAATCCTTGATTTACATACTTCTATCAATCTCTACCAACAGCCTTTTACAAAATCCACCCAAAACTACGTAAGGTATAGTAAGATACACTCTTTAAAAAGCCGTGGTGAGCTGACACTTTTCCGACTGAGGTATCTCAACAATGCATTGAGCCCCACACAAAATTTCATCCATATCCGGCAATTTCATTTAAACACTTCGTAGGGAAATAGATTCAGTATTGAGCAACATAACATCCATTTCTCCAGTTAAGGGCTTTAAAAGCAAAGCTATAAAATGTACGTACTGGCATTTCAAAATTTTCACTTGGAGACGCTGTTGTAACTAGAAATTGTTAAAAATCATCACAGGGGAGTGATGATAATCATAAATAATCTGATACAGCAAAATTTCAATTAATTGTATATTTTATATGAGATAAAGAGAACCTTAATTCAGTAATTCAGCAGAGCACACTTGAGAGACAGAGCTTTTGTACCTGACAATGAGAGAGGACGTTCTGAACTGTTTTCTGTTGGTCTTCGTTGTAGGCTGTGTCAGATACAACGGTTCCCTGCTGATATTTTAAAAGTTACGTAGTTAATGCTTTACTTTTATAAGAGTCAAACTGTATAGTAGGAGAAAAAAACCATTTTACGTTTATTTATTTAAATTGTTTTTATTTTTCACTAACTTTTCAAAAGGTTTCAGGAGTCTTAATCTAAAGCAGAGACAAAATAAAATAAAAACACAATATGCGAATGAAAATTGTAACTGCTAATTCAGACAGGAAGTAAGAAAAGTATTACATCAGAAGGACCTACGTTTAGGGATTTGTGCTCAAAATGAGTATAAACTGCTCTGAACTCCCTACAATAAGGAAAAGAGAAGTTAAATGGTTAAGTCCTCAATGTCTAATGAAAGGAAGCAAATTCAGGAGAGACCAATATTTTTTGGGTGTGAGTTTAGAGGAACTCTACAGTAGACAAAAAAATTAAACCTTTCCCTTTAAAATGGTTAGGTGTTGGGTGCCTGGGTGTCTCAGCTGGCTACTGTCCTACTGTCTGTTTCAGCTCAGGTCATGATGTCAGGGTTTCCTGAGTTCAAGCCCCACATCAGACTCTGTGTTGACACTGCAGAACCTGCTTGGGATTCTCTCTCTCTCTCTCTCTCTCTCTGTCTCTCCCCCTCTCCCCCTCCCCCACTCACACCGTCTCTGTCTCTCTCAAAATATATATTTTAAAATAAATAAACAAAATGGTTGCATGTTAATATATTTGGCAAATGGCAATTAACATTACTTACATTATTGACATATGCAGTATGTGGTTCATAGGCATAAAGAACAGTGTTATCATCATCATAAGCAGGTATTCGTGTTCTTTTCTAAGGAAGATTTATTAATAAATTAAAAGGAAAGATGGAGGATAGAACTGAAAGAAAAACTGAGGACTTCAGTTCACTCCTAAGAAGCTCCGAAAGCCTATTGGTGATATCAAAGGAGCCTCGTCCACTGTAAACTCTAGGACTACATGAAAAGATCTACTTGCAAACCTGTTTTCTCATTACCCCAACTACACTTAAGACATCATTCTCCATTGAGCTTAACCTCTTGTGTAACTCAGGGGAGAAAGACTAGCCTAGTAACCTGGCACCAGAACTGCTTTAGAAGCAAGTATTTCTACGCATGAACAAAGAACCAGGTTACATGGCTTTGGATTTTTAAACAATCCAACGGTGCCACTCTGTGGACAAAAGAGGAAACAGTTAAGCACCTATTTTTCTTGAGAATTTAATCTCTAATCACCTCAAAACATTTTTTAATAGGACATGATATAAATAAATACACAATACATAACCATTACACTTCATTTAATAACTGTACTCTAAGAATGAACTTTAAACTATAAGAATAACGTTAAAATAAAGATATGTAGAAGCTAGGTATGTCTCTGTTTCAAAAACCATAATCAAAATAATATGGAATGAGCTATAGAGGGGTTCTTACAAAAATATACCTTGTATGGTGCCTTCTGCTTTTCAAAGTGATTTCTTTCACATATTTATGTCAGAGAAACACTCTAGGTAGCCAGTTAACTTTATCTAACATTATTATGAAAAAATATTGGGGCTGATAGAAGTTAAGAAAATTGCCCGTAGCACTTAGGTGGCATTAATACCCACATCCTTATTTAAGTAAAGAGATGCTTTTTCTGTGAAGCCAAATTATATATAGTTTAATAATTTATATTTTTACTCACCTTCAGGAATCAAGAAACATAGCGACACAATTATACAATAACAAAACCATTTTCAAAGACTATTGGGCAGATTTTCAAGAAGTTACATTAACCATATGAGCCAGCAATTCAACTCCTGAGTATTTGCCCAAAAGAAATGCTAGTATCTGTTCAAGAAAACCTTGCACACGACTGTTTATACACCATTGTTTATAGCGCTTTACATATCACTGTCAAAACTCATGAGCTTGCTCATTTCACTGAATGAAATTAAATTCAATGTAGAAAAGAAATAGAGCACAATGAGAAGAATAAAGACAGATTTTTAGTTTGAAATACAAACCACATCAACTTCACTGGAGCCGCTAGACATCGTTTTTGCGCAACAGCTGCACTCCACTTCCCCTGCGTTGGGCCTAGTTATTTCTAAATTTCCTGGAGGGTTTACTTGTGAAACTGCCTGGTCATCTGGGACTGGTAAACCACCTACTCCTGAAAAGCAACACATAGAAAAGTTACTACACAGACTTATCACCATAACAAACGTAATATGGATCTGTTCTCCGAATGCCAACTTAAACTGAATGGGAGTCCTGGCTGAATTTTAGAGACTGACAAAACAATAACTATTCCATTAGTGATTTCGAATAAACTCTTAAAATTGAAGGGCTATATATTGCCACATCCAGGAATAAGAATCAAGATCAAACACAAACTCCACATTGTGAAGTGAATGCTTCACAACTTCAAGGCTACAGAGTAAAAGCTGGAAACAAACGAGAGAACACAATTCCCAACTGCTTTTTAAAAGGAACTCAGGGGCACCTGGGTGGCTCAGTGGGCTAAGCATCTGACTTGGGCTAGAATCATGATTTCACGGTTCATGAGTTTGAGGCCCACGTGGGGCTCTGTTCTGACAGCTTGGAGCCTGGGGCCTGCTTTGCTCTCCCTCGCTCTGCCCCTCCCCTGCTTGTTCTTTGTCTCTCTCTCTCATAAGCAAACATTAAAAAAATTTTTAAGGGGCGCCTGGGTGGCTTAGTCGGTTAAGCGTCCGGCTTTCGCTTAGGTCATGATCTCGCGGTTTGTGGGTTCGAGCCCCGCGTCGGGCTCTGTGCTGACTGCCAGCTCACAGCCTGGAGCCTGTTTCAGAGTCTGTGTCTCCCTCTCTCTCTGACCCTCCCCTACTCATGCTGTCTCTCTCTCTCTCTCTCCTAGAAATAAATAAAAATATTTAAAAAAATAAAATAAAAATTTTTTTAAATAAAAATAAATGACTTCCTATTTGTTTGCCACCACTCTTAAAACCAGACAATTCCCTGTTGGATTAATTACACTGCAGCTAAAATTTGGCTCTAATCAGACATGGAAGCAACATGCATGGAGTCCACCACTGGACTCCAGACATTTATAAGTCTGTGGCACATTTACACAGCAACATCGATCTTGCACTGTTTGAACCTCTCATCCCTGTCTTGACGTCTACCCACAGTACCCTGCTGTTTCTACACCTAGGAGAACCTATTCAACTTCAAAGCTCCACTCCAGTTGCATCTCCACAAAGCAAGGGTGCTAAGTCATCCCACGTGGAAGTTAACACTGCTTTCCCCAAGGCACCAGAACACTCCCACTTTAATGGTTTTAAGGTAGCTGTTACACAAAGGGAAACATCAAATAGCATTAAGACCTTAGGTTTGGGGCCAGAATATTTGGGTTTAGTTCCCAGTTCCTCCACTTACTAGCTGTGTAATTTCTCTCTGCTTTTTAGAGAAAAATCTGTAATACGAGGATAATAGCACAGACCTCACAGAGATATGGTCTCTCAAAAATAAATTTACAAAAGAAATTTTTTTAATGTGACACAGCAAAGCAAGTGTGATTTACAATTTTTTAAATAACTGTGTCAATACTGAACAATCATTTTCTAAAAATCCTGTCCAGACTCTCAAAAGTAGCCCTTCTACTGTCCATATCAAACTTTAGAGACTAAAAAGTCACCAGATGGAAGATAATGCCGCCGAAACTGTATCCCCTCATCCACCACTGAATTGGGTCCATGCCCTACTTTTTATAAAACACCTTGAAGAAAATCTGCTTGTAAAATCACGATTTGTAAACATTTAGCTACTTTCAAAACCCTAGAGCAGTCCAAATTTGGTGAGAGCCAGGTAGAGGAGGGAAGGAATTGATCTCTTTTAAAATGTTATTAATGTTTATTTTTGAGAGAGACACTGATATACACAGAGCGTGACCAGGGGAGGGGCAGAGAGAGAAAGAGACACAGAATCCGAAGTAGGTTCCAGGCTGTGAGCTGTCAGCACAGAGCCCGACAGGGGGATCGAATTCCTGAGCGCCCATCCTGACCTGAGCTGAAGTCCGGCACCTAACCGACTGAGCCACCCAAGCGCCCCGGAAAAAAACTGATCTCTAATCAAGGTACCAAATGGACCGTGCTCAACCTACATCTTTATTTTCTTTCGCCTCCCTCATGTGTTTACATTAAACCAGTAAGGCTGCATTGCCATTCATCAAACGCGGTTACCACCAAAGTCTCAAAATCAACGTTTCTTTTTTTTTTATTATATATTTTTTTATTTTTGTGAGACAGTGTGGGCAGGAGAGGGGGAGAGAGAGAGAGAGAGATACAGAATACAAAGCAGGCTCAGGCTCCGAGTTGTCAGCACGGAGCCCAAAGCGAGGCTGGAAGCCATGAACTGCCAGATCATGACCTGAGCTGCGGTCGGACGCTTAACCCACTGAGTCACCCAGGCACCTCTGGTCCATTAATTCTTTAAACTCAAAATTCTATATAAAGTCTGAGAGTCTTGATAGTTCCTCACCCCACCTGCCTCCGCTAAAGAAGAGAAAGAACCAAAAGGATCTACTTGTTCCAAAAAGTCAGCATGAAGTACTCAAAAAACAGCCAAACGTCAAAAGTTCATAGGCGCTAGTTTCCCGGAACAGCCGGCGGAAAACACCCGAACCACCCCTCAGCAGCGCTGCTAATCGAGTGTAGACTTGCTCTTCCCGAAAAGTCTTTTCCCTTCACTCAGGGCCAATCCGGCCCCGGCCCGCCGCCCCACCCCCGCCCCGCCCACACTCGCCCCGCCCACGCTCGCCCCACCGCATTCCCCCGCCCCGCCCGCCCCGCCCACACTCGCCCCACCCCATCCCCCACCCGGCCGCTCCCCAGCCATTAAGCCAAAGGGCATATTAACAGCTTCCGGCGCACATCCTGAGTAAAAAAGTTCAAAGGGAGGAAAAAGTGCCGCTAGACAGACCTTTTCTGCCATCAACGCCAATCCGGTCCTGCCCCGCCCCCCGCTCCGCCCCCCAATCCCCGCTCCGCCCCGGAGCGCCTTCCCTCAGCCGTTACGGGAAATCGTATCTCGACGGCTTGTCGCGCACACCTGAGGCAAAAATTTCAAGGGGAGAAAAAGTGCCGCTAGACAGACCTTCTCCGGCATCAGGGCCTGCCACACCGGATTCCGGAGGGCGCGGGACACTAGTTGTGGTATCCAGCCTTCCGGAACATCAAAGGCCCAAACCGTTAACGACTACTAGAAATTGACGAACGGACCTTTCACCGGAAGCCGGGTCCGAACACGTGACGCGTCCAGCGCAAGCCCCCCAGAAGCTCTGGAACTGCGCGCGCGCGCAGGTGCACTCGGCGCGCAGGTGCACTCGGCGCGCAGGTGCACTCGGCACGCAGGTGCACTCGGCGTGCAGATTTCCGCGCGTGCGGCTGTTAACCAATCCGTCGGGCACCAGCGCAATGGTTGGGGAACGGACGTTGCTAGGGAGACAGCCGAGGGGCGGGGCTTTGGTTACCCTCGCGCTGCCTGCAGTGCCCGCCTCACAGCGCCTGTATTCGAATTGAGATGTCCGCTGGTGGGGTTGCGACCCTGCGCGAGACCACGGGCGCGAGCCTCCAGAGCTGAGAGGTGTTCCTGCGGCTGCGCAGGGGCGCCGGCGCAGTTGCGCGCGTTTCTTGCAGCCTGAAGAAGCTTCGTGGAGAGGGCTCGGCGGGGTGAAGCTACCAGGCGCGTGGCCTCCCTACTGTCATTGGTTGGTTATTTGAACATTTTGCTTTTTTAATGTAATTCTGTCCCTCATTCCCCCGCCACAAACGTTGACGTTGACTCTATCCTAGGAGTGCAAATCACTGTTGAAATTCGAAGGCGGACAGGGGGCGGGCCATAGTTTTGCAGGTTTGGTTCAAATAAGGGACGAGTTATTTTAGAAAGTTGTTAACCTCGGGGATAGGTAATACAGACCCTGGAGCTGGATATACTGGGGTTGAATCCCAGTCGCAACATTTAGTTGCTCCGAGGCTTTGGGCAAGTTAAGTAATGGCCCTGTGCTTGCGCATTCGCATCTGTAAAATGGGCACAATGTCGGAAGTACATGAGTTTGAGTAAGCAAAGCACTTAGAACACTATCTGGCACATAAACTTGCTATGTAATACAGGGTACATGACGTTATTTAGTGGCATATTATCATATGTATATTGAGGCTGCCCTTCGGAAGGCGGCACATTATGTGGGGCACCTGGGTGGCTCAGTTAGTTAAGGGTCTGACTCTTGATGTCTGCTCTGGGCATGGTCTCATCCGTAAGGAGTTCGAGCCCCGCTTAGGGCTCTGTGGGGCTCTGTGCTAACAGCACAGAGCGTGATTCTGCCCTTCCCCTCCCCTGCTCCGTCTGTTGCTTTCTCTAAGATAAGTAAACCTTAAAAGGCACAGTCTCAGTAACTGTCAGAAGCAAAGCAGGTGAGTATTTTAAAGTAAAGCCATAAATCTTTTCCTGGCTCACAAAAGAGCTACCAGTAAAGTATAGTATATATTGGAAATGTATTCTCTCAAATACAAAACGAGATTAGAGGGATGCCTGGCTGGCTCAGTCAGTAGAGTGTGAAATTCTTGATCTTCGGATTGTGAATTGGAGCCTCACAACCCCAGGTGTAGAGATTTAAAAAATCTAGGGGCACCTGGGTGTCTCAGTCTGTTAAGTATCTGACTCTTGATCTCAACTCCTATCATGATCTCACGTTTGTGGGAGGGAGCCCCCTCATTGTGCTCTGTGCTGACGCATGGAGCCAGCTAGGGATATTCTCTCTCTCTCTCTCTCTCTCTCCCTCTCTCCCTCCCTCCCTCCCTCTCCCTCCTCTCTTTCTCTGCTTGCCCCTCCCCTGCTCTCTATTCTCAAAATAAATAAAAAAATAAAATCTAAAAATCTAAAAAAACCAAAACAAGATTAGAGCCCATTATACACTGTTTATTATTATTCTTCCTATACTTTTGCTATAGCACTTCCCTTACTTTATGTCCAGTTCGTATGAAACACTTGGGAGTCTGTGAAACCCCAAGAATACAATGACGTAATCCAGGGGAAACCAGTTGTTTAATTGCAGTCACGTTTATTTGCAGTTTCTATACACACTTTCTAGGTAATCAAACTTTTCTGGTACATTTTTTTTGAGAGGGGTTCACAATGAAACTGTCACCATTTTTACTAAAAATAAATACAAGACTTAAAGTGTTGCACAGCTCTAAAATATACAAAGGCTTGAATTGAATGTAAACGTTGAAAACATCTTACAAAAGAAACCATTTCTGCAACAATTTAAAAAGTTCATATTTACAAATATTACAAAAATACAAAATGGATGCAAGTCCATAAACCATTGTCTTTTTGGCCAGCATGAACTGGTTCTAGTACCAGAATAGTTACACTGTAACCTTCTTTATAGTTTTACGTCTTTGTCATGATCTAGTTCTTTAAGTCAGCCGGCACTGTAGCAAATCGACTCACTCCCTGACCTTTGGCAAGAGCAAACTGTGTGTTTTGTTTGCAACGACTAGTCCATGTCCTCTACTTAGCCAAAAAAAAAAAAAAAAAAAAGTAAGGAAAAAAATTTCCCCCACACAACAAAGACATGTTGCATAAACATAAAAACAAAAAATTTGTATCAGTGCAAACAACAGAAGAAAAGTTTGGATCGATGTTTTTCACGATACCTAATGTGTGTACCCTGCTTCAAAACGGCAGTGATGTTGAAGACAGCCCTCTAATTCTTGGTTTTATATGCTATGTAATAAAGCCATGTAGAATATTCCAGATTACTAAGGAATTTCTTACTATGTTTTTTTTAAACTCAGTTTGTTGCTCAATACTCTTTCCACAGTGAATTTAAAATCCATCATTATTTGGGTTTTTTTAAATCTATGAAATATAAAATAGAGAAACTCTGCTATAGATTTTTAGAGTAAACAAAATAAGTAAAACTATATTATAAGGGTTAGTTCTGTGATCATTACATATAGAAGGAATCTTATTGCCTCACAATTCAAGTCAGCATGTATTTTAAAAAATATATGGTACCATTACTTAAATTGATGTCAATAATAAAAAGGTGACATATTTATTAAAGCCAATTCATGTGTTTCCTATTCAAGATTTAGAATCACTTTTAAAGCCCACATACCTTTCTTTACGCTTAAAAAACCCCTAACTACACAAAAGCCATACTGCAAACGAACTGCTTTTATGAAAATTACAAAAGATCACCTACTGTGACTGGAAATGACGGTTTCTTAGCGTATTTGTCTAAAAACTTTACTTTTAAAATTTTGCCAAGTGTACTTTTCAAAGCATGAGAAAAAGTTATTCATGTTCCCATGTGGTGTCAAACCATGCTGGTTTTCTTGACTCATGGGTTCCAGTGAGAAATGATGGTCCATTTTGTTCAAACCCCCAGTTTTCTTTTAATAAAAAGTGTAACACTTTGTAAATGTTCAAATGTACCCTTTACCAGGTAGCTTATCATCTATCCCAGCACAAGCACCCACACACACCCACACACACCCACACACACACGTTCTCCCTCCTCTACCCCGCCACCCCCAGCACCCCCATTTTACACACAAGGATGACAAGAAATTAAATACAATTTGATAGTGAAAACAAATAGTAGAAGAAGCCAGACATATTTTTTTCTTTACAAACAAAAAACCAACAGCAATCAGATTCTCTAATTCTCAATCTGTAACATCTCAGAAAGTGTTTCTATTGAAAGACAGCATCTTCTTAGACCAGGCTTTCTCCTTCATATTGTATGAATTAAACCAAAGCCACAACCCCCCTTTCACACATCCTACTTTCCCAGATACCACTTGCGTAAACTTAAAGCCAGCTGCTTATCAATTTCTTCGCAACTCTGGTCTGTTCTATCATTCTAAGTGCATTCTATTCATTTATAGGCCGCATCCCTTCTTAGTTCTCTCTAACTTTCTACCTTGTCCCAATCAAAACATATCCTAAGTACATAGCTGCTTATATTTCTGACATATCATTTCAAACATTAGTATCAGTTCATGTTAAAATCAGAGGTGTAAGAACCATTTGCAGATTTCAACTTGTAACTACTTTGTTTTTCAGTTTTAAGACAAGAAAATTCAAGTAATTTCAAGTAATTCAGCTTGTTTCCCTGCCTTCATTTTATCAGAGCACTTGCCCTGACATTTCCTTTCCCACCCACCACCCCTCCCCTTTTGCCATCAAGCAGATACAGTAAAATCAGACAAAAACTCATTTGTATGTAGCGTTGTGAACCAGAGCTTTTCCCCATTCCCAGTTTAACAGCGAATATAAATAATGCATATACACATACCTATTTCCCAACTATAGTGTTCACAGTGTCGTTTCTGTTACTTTTTAGGTAGCGTGAATCTCATCAGCACAGAGAGAAAGCTTCACTGAAAACTCATTGCAGGTACTTACTGATAAGTCGATAGCTCTGTGGCATGCTTATGTTTTACTTTTGTTAGTTCAAGAATCTGGAGCTAATTGCTAAACTGTGTAAGGAGTTTATAGTCATTAGATTATGACTGTTTATGTCCCCAGTAGCCTAATATAAAACATAACCTAAAATCAACTATTGTTTTCCCTATTCATTCTCCTTAAAGCAA